CTCAACAGACTGGCCTCCTCCTCCTCCTCCTACTCCTCCTCCTCCTCCTCCTCCTCCTCCTCCTCCTCCTCCTCCTCCTCTTACTCTCTCTCTCTCTCTCTCAGACTTAAGGCATGTGGTTCAAGCAGCCTCCCCTAAAAAGGCGACGAGGACCCCAGGGAACCCAGAGACCCCAGACGCAGAAAAAAGAGCCGCGCCCAGCAGGCAACGAGGGGATTCGAGCCGAGTCCAGCAACATCCATTCCGCCGCGGCCACTCACAGCACGCCGACCCACGCCGCCTCCAGGGCACTCTGCCCGCACCGGTCACGCATCGACTGGGTTCTAGCAGATTCTCTCCTCTAGTCCGCGTTCTCCTCCTCAAGCGGAAGGGGCTTCAGCGTCGCGAACACCGCGTCGAAGGCTGCTTCGTTCGAGCAGAGGCTTGCTATGTAGGGCTCTGCTGCGATGCCCTCTGCCTCCAGGAGCGCCAGCAACTTTTCCAAGACGTACCCGACAACCCTGAGGTCGTATTGGAACGAATCGGCTGCTGCAATAAAGGTGGATGTGACGCGGGCCTGGGCCGCCCCATCAAGGGGCTGATGTTCGGACGCATTCTCATCTGCAGTTACACCGAGTTCAACTCCCGCAGTGTCCGTATTGAGGAGTCTGTCGGCCCACTCCGGCTCACTCAGCCGGTGTCGAATGAACGTTATCAGCTCGTCGTTCACCTCCGCGCCATCTTCTCCAGACCAGGAGTCAGGCGGTGGAGCTGCCTGCCCCTCGCCGTGCTCCCACGCCCTGAGCCCAGCGATCGGAGCTGATGATGTCGGCATCTGGTTTCTTCAGACGCTCCCTGATCGCAGCGCTGGAGCTGATGACATCGTCGGGCTGTGTCTGCGCCCCTTGCTTCTCGCAGGGTGGCGGCTGAGCCGCCTGCCGCTCGCCGTTCTCACACGCCCTTGTCCCAGCGTGTGAGCTGATGACATCGGCGTCTGGTTTCGCCCCGCTTGCCCTGATCCCAGCGCTGGGGCTGACGACATCGGGCTGTATCTTCGCCTCCCGCTTCTCGCAGGGGGGGCGGCTGAGCCGTTTGCCACTCGCCGTTCTCGCATGCCCTGATCCCGGCTTTGGAGCTGATGACGTCGGCCCCTGGTTTCTCCGCGCACGCCCTGATACCAGCGCTGGGGCTGATGACATCGGGCTGTATCTTCGCCTCCCGCTTCTCGCAAGGTGGCATCCACGCAGTGTGCCGCCCACCATGCGCACACGCCCCGATCCCAGCGATTGAGCTGATGACGTCGGCCTCTGGTTTCTTCAGGCACGCATTGATCCCAACGCTGGGGCTGATGACATCGGGCTGTAGCTTCGCATCCCGCTCCTCGCCGAATGGCGTCTGAGCCGCCTGCCGCACGCCGTTCTCAAACGCCCTGATCCCGGCGCTGGAGCTGATAACGTCGGCTTCTGATTTCTCCGCGCTCGACCAGATCCCAGCGCTGGGGCTGATGGCATCGGGCTGTATCTTCGCCTCCCGCTTCTCGCATAGTGGCAGCTGAGCCGCCTGCCGTTCATCGTTCTCGCACTCCCTGATCCCTGCATTGGAGCTGATGATCTCGGCCTCTACCGCGACAGCGCCAGTGGAGAACACCGTGGTCCCGCAGGTGCAGACGAGGCCAGTGCAGCGCGGGTACGCGAACCGCTCGAATGGTTCCCAGTAGCCCTCCGACGGGACGAACTCGGCTGCTTCGGCGCGCAACGGGGTCGCATCCGCCTCGATTATCTTCGTCCGAACGTCCAGCTGGCGCCCCTGCATCCTTCGCACCCGATTGAGTGCCCTGAACGAGAGGTCCATGAGCTGGTCCATGGGGAGGTTGAAGACATGCAACGCTACGTTGCGCAGCACCTGCTCCCTATGATTGCATTCTTGGATCCCCTTCTGAGGCTCGATTCCTTGAATTCCATTTAAATGTCCAGGAAATGTCTGGGAGCGCTTTTTGAGCAGCCCTTGTTGAAAGCCTTAAAATGGATTTGTAAACCCTTTCATCAAATGTCAGCATGATGGCCTGTCGGGAACCCCGATCGATGCCGAAGCGTAGCATTGTTTTGCCGCGGGTCGGCCCAGAGCGCTCAAACGTATCGTAAAGCTTCGAGGCGTAGGGCTTAGGGCATCGGGCTTAGAGCAGAGAGCATACGGCATCGGGCTTCGGGCTTCGGGCTTAAGGCTGAGGGCTTCGGCCTTATGGCTTAGGTCTAGGGTTAGGGCTGAGGGCTTAGGGCTGAGGGCTTATGGGTTTGGGCTTAAGGCTTAAGGGCTTAGGGCGTAGGGCTTGAGGCATCGGGCATGGGGCTTTAAGCTTAGGGCTCATGGCTTGGGTGGCCCGCGTTGGATCGTTTACGGGGAAGGTCGGTTTTCGGGGAGAGGGCGGGGAAAGGGCGGCGGCGGGGGAGGACGAGATAAGCGAGCAGGAAGTCGGCGGCAGAAGCGGGGGATCATAATAAGGGTAACGCTGCGGAGACGGTGGGCCAGGAGGGAGAAACGGGACGGGGTTCGAAAAGCGCCCCGATACACTTTCTGTTAGGTGGGTTCTGAGGTCTCGGGGCTTACAGGTGGGGTGATGCCTCCCCCATTCAACTCCCCTTACTTGTCTTCCTGCGTTCCTCGTTCCTTCTCCCCTCAGCTTTCGCTCCCCCGCCCCCCGTTCCCCTCTTCGCGTTTCCATATTCGCATTTCCATTACCAAGCTCCGCCTTGCCCTTGCCCTCCCCCCGTGCCGTCTCCCGCCTCCATTCCCAGCCTCCTTCGCGCGGGAGTCGCGCGCCCGCGCGCCGCCCCCCGCTCATATTTGGACCCCATCTACATCGCGCAGGCCCGCGCGCGCGCGCGCTCGCGCGTGCGCGCGCGAGCTTGCGCGCCCTCCTCCACCACGTCCTGCGGGGGGGGCACGGGTCCAACTCGGCGAAACCTCGGCCGACCAACCCAGCGCACGGGGTGCCCGCGAGGTGCCCGCCAGGCGGCGTAGCTCCAAACAAAATCCCAGTAAGAGCTCGCACATATAGTATGTGTTGGGGGCATTTTGGGCAGGGGCGCTTGTATGTCATCAACCATGGGCTCCGCTCAAGACTTCCTCACCACGCGAACGATTTGACAGAGTCGGTTGCAGCAATATCCCCCTCGGCGCCCTCTGAATCTGCCAATTGTCATTGTCATGAAGCCCCCCTCAAATCCCCCAGGACACTTAGCAGCACCTTCAAGGTGTTTGCATTGCTCTCATGGGGGATGGGGTCGCATTTGGTTCGGGGCAACGCGTTCATTGTTTCGGGTGCTATCGCGCACGTGCGCGCGAAGCTGCGCGACCGCTATTGCGCGTCGGGGTGGGCGCCATAATGCGTGAATAATGTGGCGCAATCTGTGTGGTGTACGCTGTGGTGTGGCTGCTATTGCGCGTGCGCGACGTGCAGTGGTATTGATTGTTTGCAACGCGTTGCGTTAACTATCTGGTGTGGGCTATGTGGTAGCAGGAGCGTCGCATGTGTAGTCATGGGGCAGAAATAAGAGCCTCCTTCGAGGCCGCAATGCTTGAATTGCGGGGCCATGTTGAAGCCATGTTGAGGTCATCAAGGCAGGGCCTCAATATCGCACCGAAATTCTTCCTATATGTTGATTGGGCGATGGGGCCATGGTGAGGCAATGCTGAGGCCCTCAGGTCAGGCCCTTAGGTCGGGTGAGGATGTCTCTGGCGAGCGTCGCGTCGTTTTTTTCGGTAGTCTCGAGGGCGTCTTGGTGTCATCATGAGGCCCGTGTCTCGGGGGCCGAGGGCCGACGAGGTCATATAGTTGCTGTTTGGGGCCCACGCTGGCGAACATGGCTGCGCCCGATTCGCATGTCGGTTATGGCATGGGCGCGTGCGTTTCCCCAAGTGCAGTGCTTACACTCTGCTTCCGCTATGCGCGGTGTTGTTCATCGCAGTCCTTTCCGCCTTGCTCTCGCCTCGACACGCCCTGGCCCTTGCCTCCCACCGCCTTGCCCGTGCCTCGCCTCGTCAGCCATTTTGGCTAGAAGCGCAGCGCGCTGGGCGCGCCGTGCGCTGGGCGCGGCCACGCGTGCGAATACAGAACGCTTCGCGCATCCCCGCCAGCCCATTCATCAAAGGTAGCGCCCGTGAGCTGACGGTGTGTGGGGAGGGGGGGACAATGCAAACGTGTATATACTATATATCTATGTATATGTATGTATAGCTGTTTTCGGCCCACCCTGTCACCGTGTTTGGGTTGTGGGTGAGAGGCCTCTTGGACGTTGGTCGGGGTACCATGGTAGGCGTCTCGGGTGGCATCCAGGGACAGTTTTGAAGCCGCTTGCTCGCGGGGGCGGCGGTCGGGGGGGGTGCGCCCCCCCTCCCCCCCCGAGGGAAGATTGGATTGGGGGAATAGGGAAGAGTTCGATAAGCCCTTTACGCCCATAGGGATGGCTGGAGTTCACACTCTTGCTATTTAGCAGCATGCGATGCCCGCCAAACGCCCCAGACTGGATGCAGATATCGCCGACAGCACTGCGCTCATTCTGCCCCACGCCGAGGTCGTTGCAGCGCTGCCCAGCAAGAGGCTTCATTGGGAGAGCCCGCTGACGGCCAGAATTCAATCTATACTGAGTGCTGCCCGTCGCCATAACCTCGAGCCTTCAGAAGTTGCCAGAGGATGATTGGTTGAGGGCCTCGGCGGCGCTGTGCGCGCCAGCCTTGCATCGCGGGCCGCGTCCCTGAACACCTCCGAGTGGGCCTTCAAGAGCAGGATGGGGAGAGCGGCTGCTTGGGCGTGGCTCCTGGACCGGTGGCATAGACACCATATCGTCAAAATGATTGCACTTCGCGCTCGCTCGCGCGGTGCGCACATCGAGCTGATCCAAGCGTGTGACCACGTATCGTATGACGAGACGCCCTTGGAGCTCCAGAGTATGAGCGAGCATCGCGAGGTATCGCGAGGCGCCCCTTCTGCACTTCCCCCCGCCGCGGGTTCCGAAGTCGCGACTATGACATCTCGGGCCCTAGCTGTGGCGTTGCTGAGGGGGGCGTTCCGCGGATTCAGGGCTAAGACGATCACGAAGCTCTTCGCCACCAAGGCTCGGTATTGCCACCTCGTCAAGCTCACGATGAATGGACAGATGCGCTACGTCTACCTCGTCGGCGACGTGGCATGCCAGGTTCAGCCGTTGGCGAGCACTTCGGCTGCATGCCAGGCACTTGCATTGATGGAGTCTGGGTCGGCTTCGCTGTCGGAGAGCACGTTCAGCCACAAAGTGAGGATCACGGACGCGGACGGCCACAGGTCGAACAGAGCTGGAGAACGCATATTGGACCGCAAGCGTGAGCCTGGATGGGTTCGTCTTTTCTACCAGTGCCAAGCTCACTCTATAGTGCGGGCACACAACATTGCCATGAAGCACGTCGACGTTGGCATCAAGGGGGTGATCCACCTATCGCTGTGCTTCAGAGTAGCGGGGAGCAAGCATTCCTTTAACACTCATCTTTGGAAGGAGGTCCACCGCCGACTCAGGGTCCGAGAAGGCAGCCCATCAAATGACGACGTTATCTACAACCATGTCGTGCTCAAGTCGTTCGTTTCTGGAGACGGCCAGAAGACCCGCAGGCGCGTGTTATTCACTCTCTTGCCCAGCAGCTCCATGGCCGACACGCGCGAGATCACCATATGGGTTGATTCTGCAGCTGGCCTGGACGAAGACGTTTTGAAAACATCGGTTGCAGATTCAATGGTAGACGCATTGATGCCGCGTGCCCTGAGAGTGCTGATCAGGAGCAAGTGGGGCACCAGTGAGTCGGCGATCTGCGACGCGGGCCTCATCGAGATGTGTCATGGGCTTTTGGGCCCAGCATTCACGTCATGGTGCAGGTCGTTCGGAAGGGGGCGGTCGAAGCAGCATGCGTTGGCGGCCCTGGTTGACGGTCGCGTGGACGACGTTGGCGCCGACGAGTGCGAGGACGACGATATGGGCGCCCACGAGGGCGCGGGTGGCGATGCGGAGGCCGCTGGCGCTGGCAGCCGCCGAGAGAGGCTCAACAAGCATATGGCGTTCGCGATGGATTTCATGTCTAATAAACGCCCAGTCCCCCACACATTCTTCGTTCTCGCCAGCAACATCTTGAGGCCCTTGCAGGCGATGCTGCGGAAACATTGTTATTTGACGTCGAAGGAGTTCGAGAAAAAAGGAACGAGTACATGCTGCCAAGCGCACCGCAGAGGGGACAGTCGGCATTAACAGATCGTTCCCTGTCACGGTTCTTGCCGACGGCGTCTTGGAGACCAGGTGCTTCGAGAAGATGATGCTGCTACTGTTCACCCCAGCGGCCTGGCACTTGATCAGGCCAGAGGAAGTCAAGAACAGAAACACGTCGCTCGCCTTCATCATGATATCCGACGCTCTCGCCACCATAACCCAGGAGGTTGCATTGGTGAACCAAGGGTTTCCCACGCGACTGTTTCAGCTCTTCCAGCAGCCCGAGCTGGGGCCAACGATGGAGGCCGCCCCCGACTGCATGAAGGACGCGTTCACGAAGGAGCTGCAATCATCATGTCGGTTGGGGGGCGAGGAGTGTTTGATGCGCTTGGCGGCTATGGCCATGCTGATCCAAGGCAACACCGTCCCCAACGAGGTCTTCAACGCCCAGATGCGGAAGATCGTCAAGTCTAGAACGCAGTGCCCCCAGTTCAAGGCGGTTGACCTGTCGACAGCTTGCGTGGGCGTGCACAGCCGCGCCAAAACTGAGGATGTCACCCGCCCACGTCACGGGCCAGTTCACGAGCCGCGTGCTGGCGGAGGTTCTGGGGCACATGCAGCTGAGCGCCGAAGGTACCAGCACGAGCATCATACAGGCGCTTGGGGCGTTTTTCAACATGAGCAGGGCATCAATGACATGAGGGAGGTGTCGGCGCGGTACCGCGCGTTGCCCCCTGCTGAGCGGGCGCGCCTGGCGGAAGAAGGTCGGAGAGCTGCCGCGAGGGCCCGTGACGGCTTCCGCGCCCTCCCGCCAACCCAGCGGCAAGTGGGCATGCATCGCAACGCCAGGCTTGCGACTACAGCCATTGAGAGGTTTGCTGGCCGTGACCCCGATGACACAGTCGACTTCCTGATCCGTGAGTGCGGGGCTTCAGGAACGAGCTTGAAGGATACCTTGTCCACGGTAGCGTCTTATCGGAGGGGCTTGGCTCGCCATCAGCGCCTCCAGGAAGAAGCAGACAATCAACTTCTCGAGTTGTATCGGGATGATGAGTCGAGAAGGGTCGTCCCCGAGCTGGTGCATGCGATCCCATCGCTGGGGCCCGTGAGAGGGGTTCTCAGGTGTTTGCCGCCTGTTCTTGGAGCAGCCGTGGTTGAGCGAGACGCGTCGAGCTCCGCTGACGACGTTGCCTTGCTCGAGGAGGCGGCCCACGGAATGTCCGTCACGCATCAGTCCAATGTGCAGCAGGCCGCTGAGATGATGTGGAACCACATGCACCGATTGCTACCTGACGATCCTGAACTGTCATCCCTTGGTGATTCCGCTGATGACCCAGCAGAGCAGTTCAAGGACGGAGAGTGCCTGCGCTACGGCATGTGCGTGTGCGGTGCGGTGCACGACGGCTTGCGAGCGTTGCGCCGCAAGGTGTTCCAGGCTACGAAGATGACGTTCAGCAAGGCCAGCCCGCAGACGAGAGGGCTCCTGGTTGGCCGCAGGGTCATCGCCCGCTTCATCTGGCTGGCGGACGATAGCGACGAGGACGAACTCATGAATGATCTTGATTTGGAGCCACTCTATTGGCATTTGTCGGGCGTGAAGTTTTCGCCGTACGAGCTCATGATGCAGCCCATGACGCCCGCGTCGCCTGCTGAGCGGCACGACGCGTGCGCTACGGACGACGAGCACTGCTTGAAGGTCAGGCTCCGTCAACCCCTCACCCACCCCCCACTACTACATGAGTGACGCTGGGGGCGGGAAGGGGGGGGAGAGGGAGGGCGCGATGATGGGGGCAAGGAGGAGCGTGGAGGAGGGGACGGAGGGATGAGCATGAGGAACGATCGCGTCGCCCCCCCTCCTCACCCCTCCCGCCTCGGCCTCGCCAGCCCTTCTCATTCCCCCTCTTCACTTGCCCCATCCCTCCCCCCTTGTCGCCCTCCTCACCTTTCCCACCCCTCCACACTCCTCCTCCTCCTCACCCCCTTTTCCTCAGCCTCCGACTTGTGAGGATGACGATTTTACGACCGCTTCTTCGCACGATGTGTTTTCTGGTGGGGGGGGGGGGCGGCGGGCGGCGGGTTGCGCGCGCCCCGAAGGGTTGTGGGCTGAGCCCGCCGACGTTCATCGCGCTGGCCTCCGTCCCGCTGCAGCTGAGGATCATGCTTGATTTTCTGATTGTGGAGGTCCACGACCGCGAGCGGCTGGCCTTCGTTCCAGCGGTTGTGATTGCAGAGGAGCTCGCAGGCGTGGACCCGTTTCAGGTCTGGCCAGCCGCGGCGAGGCGGCGTCGCGGGGCCACGCGCGGCAGGGGCCGCGGTGGGCGCGCAGGCGTGGCGCCTGGACGAGGACGTGGTCGAGGCCGTATCCACCTTCTTCTCCAAACACCCACCCACTGGAGATGATGAGGAGTAGGATGGGATGACGATGGGGGTTGTGGGGGCGGATGAGGAGGATCAAGGGGGTGTGAGGAGGGCGGGGGGTTGCCCGAAACAGGCGCTGGCCCTCACGCACCAATACACGGGAGCAAGCAACGCAACAAATGCACAAGGCACGCGATCAGAGATACCGCGTGCCTTGTGCATTTGTTGTTGCATTGTTGCTGTGTTGCATTGTGCTGCGTTGCATCTGATGTCTGTGTTGCGCCTTGTCGCGTTGCAGTTTCCCCGTTACGTTATGCCCTGGGGCCTTCGAAATAAAAATGTGAATTGCGCAGCCTTGAGGCTATCTTGGGCTCTAGGTCGTTGATCTCTGATGCATCTTGGCCCTTGGACCGCCTGGGGCCCGCGGTGGGCCAGGATGGCGAGAGCGGCTCCCAAAACGCAAAGGGGAAGGGCCGAGCCCAGCACTGACGCGTCGAGCCCCCGCCCCACAGAATCACCAACCATCCATGAGCTAAGAGCCAAGCATCCCCCAATAGCGAAGCAAGATGATTTGGGACTCCGATGAGGCCGCGGCCGAGCTGCGCCTGATGCAGGCGCGGACGCCGCGCCAGCGGCTGGGGGGCCCGACGGAGGGGGCGCCGTCGCTCTTGGCGCGCTGCCGTTGGAGGATGGCGCGGAGGATCGGACAAGCGCCAGCGAGTCCGATGACGGCGGGGATGATGATGACTGCGGCCATCAGGACGAGGACGCCTGTGGGGGGCACACAATGCACGTATACAGCGTATACGGAGCTATGTAGGTCGACGGGCAGCGGTGGTGACACAGAGCTTCGGTTCGTTGGGCAACGCCCCCTCCCTGCGGAGTCGGCGCGGTTGTCAGGGTGGATGTTCGCATGTAGTTCGAAGGCATGTAGTTTGAAGGAGTTTGAAGGCGTTTGCCCCCCCCCCCCCAGGTAATTGGGGCAATGCGCTTTGCGAGGGGATGCAGTCAGTCTTATCGGGTGCGTTTGGCGGCGCGATCTCGGTCACCCCCCCCCGTTCGAGCCCCCTCGCCCGTCCCCTCGTTGCCGCTCCAGTCGCTTTCAGAGCTCGTTGGGCCAGGGGGGCGGCCTGGTGCGGTAGGGCTGTAGGCATGGCGCTAGCGCGGGGCAACGCGTTGAGGTGGGCACGTAAGAACGCAGCCTGCGGGATTGTCTTGCCTTCACCCCCACCCCACCCCGCTTGCATCACCTGCCCCATCTCACCCACAGCCGCCACAATTGCTGAAGTATGTCCCCGTTCCTCCCTTGCCCACCTTTTCTTCGCACCGCCCCCACTACCCCTTCCCCTTGCGGGGGAAGGGAGCATGGTTCGCTTTTTACGACCCCTGGTCGGTCCATAAAGTCCCTGGTGCCCCCAGAAGTGAGATGCCCAGCCCCTTCCTCGCAGGAGCGGAGATGATGGCGACGACAGCGAGGACGGGATGAGCATCGGCGGCGAGTCGGACCAGTCCTCCGTCGACGCCGACTCGGACGTTGAGGGCGAGGCTGGGGCGGGCTCTGCGGGCGGGGCGGACGAGCCCCCCGCTCCCCTCGACCACCCGACGCCTCCTGGCTCGCCCGAAGCTCCTGGCCCAGGTCCCGAGGCAGAGCCCCGTCCACCGCCTCCTGAGGCAGACCCCCAGCCACCTGAGCCAGAGCCAGTTATGGCTATGGACGTGCATCCTGTTCCCTTCGTTGCCCCGCCCTTGCCTCCACCGATGGCGCCGCCAGGGCCCCCACCTCCGCCCCCACCTCCTCCGCCGCCCCTTCCAGCAGATGTGTTTGCCCTGCCGAATGTAATCACGTATTTTGTACCAGGCAGTGAATTCGGCAGCAAAATCGCTTGGTATAAGTCGACTAGGAGCGTCGAGGTATCTTGCAGAAACCCTGATCATGAGCATCTTTTGTGCAGGGTTACCCGCACGACCAAGCCTTTTACGAGACCCCCTGGCCACCCTAATCAGGGGCGCCCGATGGGCTTTGCCGCGGCATGGATTTGCGAGGGATGTCGAGATCCCAATGGGAGGGCGTCGCACCAGCGTTTCGAGCCCACCCGTGCCATGCGTCGCGCGGCCAGGGATGTGCTCAAGACATCGGCGGCTGGCAGGTTGTTGTTGCGAGCTGAGCGACAGCAGCGCCCAGACGAGGTGGATTCAGAGCCAGATATGTGATGCGTTCGGTTTCGAGGCATCGTAGTTGCATTGTGCACTTGCGTTGCGCGCTCAGCGCGCGCTGTGACTTGAGTTCCCCGCCCCCCCTCTCAGTGCGGGGCGCGGCGAGCCCGATGCACGGGTTCGTGGCGACATCGGGCGCTGCTGATCGTTTGCGCGGGGTGGCAAGGCGAGGAGGGCAATGACATGTGATGGGGATGGTGGGGGATGTCCATTCGAGATGGCCCGAGTGACTGTTGACACATCGATTGCGCGATGGTGAACGCCTCATCTTCCTAATGCCCTCCATCCGTGCCGTCATCGTCGATTGCGCCGTGTCTGCCGCGCCGCTTGATCACATCGGGGCTTGAGGCGGTGCCCCGCTGACGAAACTGTCTCCAGCTGCATTGTCGTGAGGAGGGGGGAGGGTGATGATGATGATCAGCAGCAGCAGCAGCAGGATCAGCGGCTACCAAGCGCAGCACAGGACAAAAGGCTTCCGCCCTCCGCCGCGCCGACGCCGACGATCCGCGTGAGGGGTGATCCGATCTGGGCGGAGCTCCTTGGCTTCTCTCTTATGGGCCCGCTGGGGTTCAGGGTGTCTGGGGGCACCACTGCGGCCCCAGTTTGGCCAAAGTGGTGGTTTGGATAGGCCCATGTGGGGCCCGCAGGTGGCGCCGCAAGGTTTTCAAGGGCCTCTTAGTGGCCATGGCGTCTGATGGACCCCGACGGCGTCTAAGGCAAGGGGCCCCATAGGGCTCTTGAGAGGGATCAAGAAGGCGTCGGTGGACCTCGGGCCCCTGGGCCCCACTGGGGCCTCAGGCCCCCCACTCCCCATCGGGCTCTTGGGGGATTCCACAGGGTTCCAAGGGGCCTCGGGGCTTCTAGGTACCCCTGCTCATCCTCCTCGGGCACCGACGGGGGTCACGGCAGGCGAGTGCACATATGGCGACCATGGGGGTCGTGGTATGGGCCCTTCTTCCCCCTCTTAAGGGATGGGAAGGGCCCTTACCTCGTTGCACTATGTGCAACGCCCCATGGCCTGTGACCAGCAGTGTGCCGTCTTCCTGTAGGGCCACCCCCCCCCACTCCGTTCCCTCTGTCCACCTTCGCTGGAGTGAGGGTGGACAGAGGGGGGCGCCCTTCCGCGCCCTCCGTTCGGAGGGGAAGACGGGGCCCAGGAGAGCGGTCCCTCCCTTTACGGGCACTGCGCCTGAGGGGGCCGCGCGGGGGGGGGCCCCTCGCCTCCCTTTTTTTTTCTCCTGCGCGCACAATGCGCGTTCTGACGAACAGAATTTCGAAGGCGAGTCCAACCGTGGTGACGACGGAGGGCCTGGAGGCCAAAAAACGCCCACCTCCCCTTCCTGCAATCCTCCTCGGCCCCAGCGGCCAGCGTCTAGCTCCCGCAGGGCTCCCTCCAAACGGTGCCCTTGGACCACGGGCGCCTGGGCAGGCCTTCTGGTCCCCCCTCAGGCACCCCACAGGGTTTCTCGGGGCCCGTGGGCCTGGGAAGTAATATCTCATACGCCGACGCGCCCATCGGCCAGCGGAACATATTCGCTGGCTGCCACCGCCAGGCTCGCTCCATTCCCATATGCCTATCGGCAAGCGCCGCCCCCGCAAGAGAAAGTGGAGACGGTTGCGCATTTGGCAGCCGCCCAGTGGCTCTCGACTGGCTGGTTTGCTGGCTGGTCGGCTGGACTGGCTATCGTGCCCAGGGGGCGCGCGGGATCGTTCGCACTTCTCGTGCGCCGATTGGCTCGCCGCCGTGGTCGGCGCCCTTGCTGGTGCCGCCGCCGCTTATGAATATATGTTTTTCGGCAATGGCATGCCGCCAACCCCTCTCCGCCCGCGCGCCGCGCTGGCTGGTTGGCTGGTTGGTTGGTCTCCAACCGCGGTTGGCTGATTGGTTGTGTTGGTTGGTTGGCTTGTTTGCACCGCAGGTTGGCTGGTTGTTTGGTTGGCCGATTGCCTTTGTTAAGGCTCATAGGCGCATATCGCCGCGCAGGCAAGTCCTGAGTGTGCATGTGCAGGCATACGAACAGACATCCATTAAGCCATAGTTGTAAAGAAGCAGACAAGTACGTTTACGTTGCGGCGTTGGCTTTTTTCTTTTGTAAGCGTTTCATATATACATATATTTATATATGTATATTTATATATGTATATGCATATATATATACATATATATATATATGTATATATATATGTCGCATCTACATGCGAAGCTTATGGAAAGCATGGCATTTGAAATCATGGAGAATGCGCATGTGCCAGGGTTGAAATGCCACCCCCTTGTCGCCGAGCGGCCAGGGGCGGAAGACCGCGGCGCAACTGCGCCCTCCCAGGGTTGCGAATCGCAGCCCGTCGCTCCGCCTTCAGCGAGTCCTGCGGCGTCACTGATGGGCGCGCGCGCGCCGATGGGCCGCGGCGACATGGCTGTGCTTGGCCGCGGGGCGGCGCCGCTGCCAGTTGGCGCCCGACAAAACAAAAGGCGCCCAGTCGTTTGCACGCGGCCCCAGCTTGCCAAGCCGCGCGCACCAGCGCGATGTTCGCCCGCGAGGCGCGCGGCGCCGTCGGGGCAGCGGCTCCGCTTCGGCGCGCCTGGGCACATGATTTAAATCTGCACCCCGCCGCTTGCCGCCAGAGCTTTCCGCGCGGGCCCGTCGGCCAGCGCGCCGCGCGGCGCGCCACAGCCAGGGGGTCGGGGCCACCATGGTGCCACTCAGCCGCGGGCAACGTAGGCGGGCGCGCCGCCCATTGCGAGCCCGCTGCTCACGCCGCGCGCTCCTGAACCATCGTTCCGAAAATGGGGCGCGCGGCGGGCGGCGCCAGCTGGGGCGCTGCGCCGCTGGGCTGCCA